AATGACGATGACGACTGTCTCGTCTTTATATGTATATACATGTGCTCTAACGCTGAACTTTCGGAGCGCTATTCACTGATATTTAGAAGCGAAAAGTCAATGCATTATCAAAGAGAATATCATCGTTTTTTCTCTTTTTTTTCTCTCTCTTTATTCTTGGTGGCCACTGCCTATGCCTGTGTTTCTATGTGTACATGCACAACGATAAGGTCGCGTCATTTCTAAAAATGTTAAGCATTCTTTTTATGCCATTTTGGGCACACGCCCGCCCGCTGTCGCCATCGTAGCGCGACATAAAAGGTTAGTTACGTTTAATTTCTATATTTTTATGCGATGGACATCTAAATATGTATATATATATATATATATACACACACATATACATCTAGATGTACTTGAACATATAAAAAAATCGAACTGACAGGGAATAAAAACAAACAAGAAGTTTCATAGAAATAGGAACCTTTCTTTTTCCAAAACAATATAAAAATTTGTATCTGCCAATCATTGACACCTGTGTTTAATGGCGGCAAATTTGTTTTAATAAAATGATCCTCGTGTAAATGATCGCTACATGTGTATACATTACTAGATCTAATGAAGTTTGAGAAGTGTGTATGTGTATTGACGACGGCATCACTATTTCATAGCTTTGATCCTCATGAAATAATTATAAAAACATTGAATTAGGATGAGCAAGTGAATTAAATTGACTATTTCTTCTATCCACTTGTGTTATGTGCTTATCTGTATATGTACATAGATACATTTACTAAATCTATTTCTTCTCTGAACTATTCCGATATAGACAATGATAAATGACCATGTAATTGAGTTTGTAGAAAACAAAAAAAAGAATGTCTAATCGATATGTCGTCACTTAGAGTATACAAGAAAATTATTGTTTTTATGATCGTGTCCATGAGATAACTCATTTTTTTGTTTGAAGTTGCTTGTTTTCTCATTCATCATCCGGATGTTCAATTCTTTTTGTGTTGACAGGATACTAGTTGTTGCAGTTCACCTCGTATCTACGTGCTGTCCCTTTCGGATATCCTGTACATACCATCATCATCATCAAATGTATTGAATACCGCACATACATACGTGAAAGCTCGTACATACGCCGCCAGCTAGTCAAATTAGCTGCGAGTTATTTAGCGACCATCAACATCAACATCTTCGTCGTTGTCGTTGCTGTTGTTGTTGTCTTCTTCTTCTTCTTCTTTCCTTTTATTGTATAGAAAAGAAGAAAATCTGGAAATAATTTAAGATCAGGAGTCTATATCTTTAATGAATGAGAAAGCGAACAACACGTGTTCGAACTGTCAGAATCAACATCGGGATATTCGTATAATGTAAACATACAAGTAGACAGATACAAAGGCTTGGTCAAATTATAAGCAATCCTATAATTAACTTGAGATTATAAAAGAAAAGAGAAAGCGAATAGTCAATTGGAGAGTGATAATGATGATGAGCATGAACAGTAATATGAGCCAGAATAACATAAAGAAGAATAAGCAACTAAACGTGTGCCAAATGCCACGAACGCTATTCGCCTATGTTCGTTAGTCGACCTTTTCCGACAAAAATATGCGAATATATCATTACTATAATGATGAATAAAAAAACTAAAAAGAAAAAGAAAGAAAGACTTCCGTATTAAACTTAATGAAAACAAAATAATTTTGATCAACAAAAATTTATTTGACATTTAATAGAAAAATGTGTTTTTCTCTAGTGCTCGTATCATGAATACAGACAATCTTGGCGTTAGTGGACCAGGTATTGGTGTTACCAATGATCCATATGGTCACCATCACCTTACGCATCCTCATCTTCTTCCACCTCATCATCCACAACATCCATCGGCACTCTATTGTTCCTCATCAAATCCTTATACAGAATTATTCTCTCCATTTACTACTGATTTTGTAACGCCTCATGATGCTGGTACTAACAGTGGTGTACCGACTGATTATCTTACTTTACAAAATTCCCTTGACTATGTTGTTTCACATCATCACCACCATCATCAACAACAACAGCAGCAACAACAACAACAACACCAGCAGCAACAGCAGCAGCACCAACACCAACAACATCTTCATCAAATGACTACTTCATCAAATGGTGAACGAACTTCATCATCGGTTGGCACTGGTATTAATGGTTCCGATGTATCTCCATCCCATTCGTTTGCTACAAGTAGTGGCTATTCATCATCAGCTGATTATTATAATCAATCCATGCTTAACTCTAAAGCAGGTCTCAATAATACAAATACATCGAATACAACATCGAATAATAATAATAACAACAACAATACATCAACAACAAATACAAATATTCATAGTCCATATGATGGTACATCAACAGCAACAACATCATCACCACCACAATCAACAGGATATATGAGTACAACAGTTAAACAAGAAACAATGATGCCGACCCCATTTGCCATCGATCCGCATAGTAATTATGGTAAAAACTCGAATAGATTTTATATACTTTCTGTTTATTTTTTTCAAATTCAATAGGAAATATTAATGGAACACCATCGGGAGCTAGTGGTGGTGGAGTAAATAATAACAATGATCCAAGTTTCGGTCTTGGTATCGATGATTACGGTTCTTCATTATATCATCCATCGGCAACTAGTGCTTACTCATCATATTCACCGTCAGGTCTTCTACAAACATCTTATCCAGTTGGACCCTATGGTGTTTCTCATGCCGATCAAATGCGATTGTACAATTCACAATTAAAACATGATTTCGGGTATATATATATAAAACAATACTTTTTCTTTTATACACTTCAATATATTGACTTTTTTTTTCTTTGCCACTTTAGTATCGATATGCGTTTTAAATTAGTTGGCAATCAACGAGTTTCGCCCAATGCTGATGTATCTCCATCACAATTATGTGCTGTTTGTCAAGGTGAAACAATTCTAAACAAATAGAATTGATTTTTATGTATATTTATTTATCTCTAGATTCAGCTCAATGTCAGCATTATGGTGTTCGAACTTGTGAGGGTAAGTTGATTATCTTTATTCTTTATCTATATTTTTTATCCTTCGGTATTTTTATTTAGGTTGCAAAGGATTCTTCAAAGTAAGTTAAACTGTCTGCTACAGGATAATCTCTTTTGATCAGATATATAAATACGGAGAGAGAAAAAAAAAATTACTCATGCATATTTGAACATGATTTGATTTTTATGTATTTATTTATTTAGCGAACAGTACAAAAGAATGCTAAATATGTATGTTTGGCAGATAAAAATTGTCCAGTTGATAAACGACGTCGAAATCGATGTCAATATTGTCGATTTCAAACATGTATTGCTGTTGGCATGGATAAAGAAGGTAACATAATAAATTTAAAACAAGAAAAAAAATCAAATTTACCATGAATTAATTTTTTTTCTTCGTCTTCTTCTGTTTAGTTGTTCGCACAGATGCATTGAAAGGTCGTCGTGGTCGTCTACCATCAAAACCTAAAAGTCCAAGTACAAGACAACCAAATAGTTTTCAAACTCAATTTTGCCGTTTCTATAATGATTCCATACCAAATCCGGCTAATCTTGATTTTAGCAAATTGAATGTAAATTTTATCTTTATAAATTCAAATCTATTTAATTGCTAAGATTTTTCTTTTCTTATCTGACGTTTAGTACCGAACAGTGACAAATAAAGAAAGTTTATGTGAAGAAAAGTTACTTGTTTATGATGCATTTACACGTTCATGCGACATCATCAAGCAATGGGTTGATAAATTTTCATTATTCTATTCTATACAAAATAGTGAACGTGATCGTCTTTATTCAAATTGTCTATTGGAACAAATTGTACTTCGTACAGCATCACGTCTCGATGGTGATCGTGTTATCTTATGTTCAGGTGTTGTTGTACATAAAGTGCAAATGAATTATTTACTTGGTGATGTTGCACAACAAATTTATGATTATGCATCAACGTTAAAACTTCAAAAAATCGATTCAATTATTGCAGCAACACTGGCATCAATTTTGTTACTCGATTCAAATAATCCTGGTAAGGATACTTTTTTTTCTTTTAAAAGGAGCAAAAAGAAACTAACTCATATTTTTTTTTCCTTTAAGATTACGTTTATCATCGAACACCGTTATCATCGACTGTCGGAGAACTTTATCAAAAAATCGTTGATTCCTTAAAAGATTATTTAAAACAACTACATGAAGATAGTTCTGTTTATTTACAATTATTAGATCGACTTAATGATGCTAGACATATTGCACATAACTTAAGAAAACGTTTATCACTTTACCGACATACAACTGGACTAACAAACTCAATGAATACACTGCTTGATTTAGTGTATGTAGACTTTTCCTGATTAAAACAAAAGACAAGAAACTAAGAGAATAATTATCTATTTTAGACTTGAATGTAAACCAATATCCAATGAATTACAAACGAATGAAGATAATACAGCGTTATCATTCATTCAATATGATCTATGACCAAACCTTGTTTTTATTTATTTATAGACCTCTATACACAAGTATTATTTAAATCCATTGCCACCATCACCGATGTTCTTCAGTAGTTATTAAAGTCATACGGGTCACACCTTTCTGTCTTCCATGATCCACGTACACACCCATTTTTTGATTGTCTTTCGTTCTTTTCTTTATTGTTGTTGTACAGAAAATTATTAATGATGATGATAATAATAATGACTGAGGGACACATACACACATAAATACCGCGTTTTGTGTCTTCTATATCTTTCGGTCTTCCACATAATCTTTTTTCATGTGCACCACTATCACTACCGAACGACCGATTTGTTCTTATTGCTTGTATACAACCTTTGTGGTTTTCTCGTTTGTTTTCCTATTATCTCTGTCATATAAATGGAGACTGCTTTTTTTCTCTTTTTTTTTCTATTAATTATTATGTGCGATATAAAATAAAATTAACAAAGAAAACAAAATCTCGAGATTTATGATTTTTGATTCTTGGAATTATTTTCAATTATTGTTTTTTGAAGATGATTAAGACGAAGAAGGCTGACAAATGCTTCCTGAAGGTACAAAAGATTTTAATGGCAATGATTAAAATATGTTTATGATTCTTTTTACATAATTATATACTTACATCGTAGAGATGAGGTCGTATATTCACAAATTGTTGCCATCCATCAGTGTCAAATAGCTAAATATAGAAAGTCAATTTAGGATATTATTACACACTATGAAGAATGGAAGTGTAGAAAAACTTCTGTTCTGTATAATTTGAAGCTTTTGGTAGGTAATTTTTATTTACTATACAGGAGGATCATTGTAAATTGCTGAATCTCTACTTTTCTTTGTTTCTATTTTACAGTTAATATTAAGATGTTAGACTGTTTATGTGCCAAGACTATCGTCTCGCTTCAAATAACATGAAAGCAGAATACTTTTGATTTTTGTCATGTTGGATCATGAAGAAAATTCAAATTTTTCTTCAACTCCTAATCTCAGATATTATACCTGTGGATGCTGTTGACATAGAAATATTAATATACGATTTTTAAGTACTTTCATTTGTTTATCATCAGCTAATTGTAATAGACCGAAGCAATTTTTTTCCGTTATATGATTCCAACATTTCTTTGTTATAATATTTTTCAATTGCAATAGTTCAAAGAAATCACCTGCATTTAATAAATCTCGAATTTCATCAATTGAAAATTCTCCAATAGATATTTCAATTTCGCCAGTATATAAATATTTTAAAATACGTTTAAGAATAGTTCCACTAATCGAGTCTATTTCAATTTTATTTATTTCTTGATTCATAGAAATGATTTCAGCTAATTTTTCGCATGCTGTACAAAGTATGAGACGATGTGCATGAAATTCTTGACCGTCTGAAGAATAAATTATCATATCAGTAAAAAGTTTGTGTATTGACATCAACCAAAATATATTGCTGTTAGATAATTCTATCATAGAATTAGGATTACAAAATATATTTGTATCTCGAATTGATGTATTCAAAGATAGAGCTTGTTCCGATAGTAAATTTTTAATACATTTGTTATTAGATGACATCGATTGGCAATATCCAATTGTTGATGAACATTCATAAATAATTAATTTGATTGAAAAGAGAATATTATTTGATGAAATAGAGAAGATCGCATCACGCGGTAGCATAATCAATGCCCGATTAAAATGGGCTTGATAACGACCTTGAGTTTTCAGCAGAGTTAAAATGCCATCATCGGCCACGTCAAATACTATTGTTCAACGATGAAAGTTTTTTTGTTTTTTTTGGGAAAAATAGTCTATCTATGATTACTTTGATAGTAAGTTTCAAAGAGTGCTTGAGGAGATTCTTCATAATCATTGACTTTTAGAATTTCTAACGCACAATATGATTTATCATCTGAAATTGTTTCATTTTCACTTGATACAATTGAATCTTGTGGCAAAGTTTTTAACATATCATGTTTTAATCGCGAAACATGGGCTGTTTCTTTTGTTAATATTACTTTATTAAGATCTTCTTCATTTGGTCTTATGCGTTGGTCAATATTAGATATTGGCTTTTGTAAAATCTCACTAAGTAATTGATTGACAGATTCTATATACGATATGGAATTCTTATTTTCCTTTTTACTCATCATATTTTGAAGACTATTGAGTAAGGTCTCATTGATAATTTCGTTACTTTTTTCGACTTCATTTAATGCACTATTATTACCTGTCGTCGTTAGATATTCATAGTTATCAATGACTTTAAATGAATGTGTATTCTTTGATAGTTTGGATGCTCTTGGATAAAACCGAACAATCCAATTCAAACTTGCATTTCCACCAGTACAACCAAATGAACTAGATTGTACGTAGAAATCTTCCTTTTCACTATTTAAAGATTGAATATCAGATAAAAACCACCGATGAACAATAATCTGTTCAGAGCATACTTTATTTAATTCTCTATTTATTTTCTTTCTGTCATGTGTTTTTTCTGAAGAGTAATTGACTGAGTCGATTTCAGTTTGATCTTCACTAGAATCTGGTCGTGTTGTACCACTTTCATTAGTCCACGATCGTGAACAGCTCATAGGATGTTTTATAGAGCGATCAAAATTTTCAATAATAACAATAATGAATATTGTATAAAACGAGTTTAGAAAACCAAAAATAAGTATGATAAAATTTCAAGATGAAACATTAGCTTCTTTTGCATAGTTACAAATAAATTTAAATTAACTCAACAAAAGAAAAACAACCACGAAAGAAAAGACATATGGGAGAACTTTATATTTGTTTCTTGTTTGTAATCAAGGAATGTGAGACAGGTGTGTCTAGATGTTCGCAAATGCACGCAAGCGTAGGTTGTTTGTTTTTCTTGTATATATGTATGTGTTCGATGCACACTGGCAATTATCACCGCGATGATATTTGCCGAAATGTTACCAGTGCATTGGTATATCTATGTATGTATGTACGCAATCGACAACCGTTTTGAATTACACGGGAGAGAGACAGAGAAAGAAAGAAAGAAAGAAAGGGCGGCAATTTGGTACCTCATCTTTTTCTATCATCATTGATCTGCATCGATAATCATTTTACTTAAATTTTTGTTTTGTTTCATTTTAATTGTATAGTTATGTATGTATGTGAAAAAGAGCAAAAACGAAATCGTCGAGCAATCGGATGCCGATCTATCAATAATGGCGTCGTCAATGTCATGTCCTTTACCCATGACAAAAGAAATAGTTCTTTGTCGACTCACATCACTCACCAATCAAAGAATGTATATACGTATAAACACATACGCCAATCTTGTCGTTCTTTCCCGGTAGTATTGATGTGTGCTCTCTATACTCATCATCTATCTAGTTACAAATGTTCTTTATTCGATATGACTACAAAGATGGGAGCATGATGAGGGAGAGAGACAGACAGAGAGAAAACAGAGAGCCAGAATGAGAAAAAGTTTCACCGACATTGTCGTCGTGGGTGCCATATCATCATCATCACCATCACAATAACATTGCCTGAAGGTTTCACCTACCACCAGTTGCAACTAATCAGGCTACTTTTGCGTCTTGCGACTGTTGATCTCTATCTCGACATCTATTCTTTGATTCATCTCTCAATATTTCTTATAGAATAGTAAGAGTATTGTGCTTTATTTGTACATTTTGATCGGCGCATTGATGATGATGATGAAGATGTTACCAAAAGAATGAGAAAAGGAGAGAGAGAGAGAGAGAGAGTAAGACAACAACAGGTGTTTTTGTCTGTTATATAGCACTATTAAGAAACAAAAAAAAGTGTGCGTATGTTGTGCCTATTGTTAGTCGAAAGAAAGAGATACAAATTGCTCAAAATACATATAATGTCCGTTATTCTAGAAACAATCAATGCCTGACGAAACAGAAGAAAATTCTGTTGGAGATCCTGATTCTGACGATGAAACAACAGCAATAACAACGGCCACAGCAGAAATATTAACATCAAATAATACAACATCACTGATGAAGACTGTTATTAATGGTCGAAAATCTCTACGAACACCTAAATGTGCGCGATGTCGGAATCACGGTGTTGTCTCTTGCCTCAAAGTAAAATAGTGCATTAGACTAGAGATAATAACGATCCAATTTTTGGATTCTATTTTCTAGGGTCACAAAAAGTATTGCCGATGGCGTGATTGTACGTGTGCAAGTTGTTTATTAGTTGTGGAACGACAACGTATCATGGCTGCGCAAGTAGCTCTGCGCAGGTATTTGATTACATATTGTTGATGAAATGAAATGAAAAAATGAAATTAACTTTTCAATTCATATTATTGTACATATTTCTTTTTTGTTTCTATTTCATAGACAACAAGCAACAATAAATTCAAATAAAACAACAACAATGACAAACAGTAATAAATATAAAAATTCCGCTTTATTTCTTGAACAAAAACGTCTTGCCGTACAAAAAAATCTACGTCAACTACAAGAAAGTTCAATATCACGCGATGTTATTAGAAGTAAGATAATTAGTCTAACTATGCACCATTTACGACATATCTTTTCGATTCCTTTATTTCTTTTTTTCTTTTTGAAAAGATCTCAAAGCAAAAAGTCATAAAAATGAAAACAATGGAAGCAATCGGTTTTCAGTAACTCCAATTCTAAATGATCGACTACGTAAACGACGTTGTTTTGCTGACAAAGAATTGGATAACATTCCAGCAATATCATCAACAAGTGAGAATATGATGACAAACAGTGCTTTTCGTATGGCTAATCTATCTCGTTTTCGTTCACGAGATACATCATCGTCATCGTTTTCTACCGATAAGTCAAAGCAAAAGAAATGGACTGATTTTTCTGTCGCAGCTATTATTGGCCAGAGTTAATCTATTTTATAATGTTTTATTATATACATATATCTTTCGAAGAAAAGAAAGAACTATTTTTTGTGTTTATTTCTTGTATTTCAGAAAAAAAAGAAATCACAGTTATTAGTGAGATCGTTAGTATAAACAAAAATTGTGAATTTCATATTCTGTTATTATAAATTATTCTATCATTTTAATCATCAATCTTGAAACATTTTACATTTTAATTATTAGAATACTCTGCAAGATGACATTCAATACTTCTTGGTAATATATTGCTGATAGCAGCAGTAAATCAAGAGAAAGACATTTCATTTAAAATGGAATTTTGTATTTCAATAGCGAGAAAAAGAAACACTTTAGCGGTATAATTGAATTTGTATTGAAATATTATTGTACGACATGAACTAATATTAAACGCTCAATTAGTAATGCTTTTAAATGGTCGTATGAGGATTGATAACTCAAGGTGAAATGTAGAATAAGTGAAATTTCTATGATGATGTAAATTACTTAGTATCCTATCTAGAGATATATATATTGCATACAGTAGCAATATTTATATATTCTATGCATCATTGACTACATCTTTTAGAATGGCGTCTTTGTATAAATGGAATAGATTCCTCACAATAACCTTATTCACAACTCACGACATTTACTTTATTATCATAATAGATAGTAATGGGATCTTTTGCGTCGACAACTTTTGCGTTTTCTTTCCTACGAATTCATCTGAAAATTTATATCAAGTGTAAGGAATGAACAATTGCGAATTCATCAAATTAAAATTTCAAGGAAAAAAACCGATTAGGTTTGACTTGATTGTACATAGATTTCTTTACGATATGAATATGTGGACAAATTTTCTAATATTGATGTGAAAATAACTCACATTTTCTATCTGTTGGTTTCTCATTATGAGCATACCAATGAATCGTATTGTTATTGTTACAAAATACTATTTTATAGAAACATATTGAAAATTTGCGCCATTTAAACGCAGTAAAAGAAAAAAGAAACGTTCTTTTCTTTGTTGTTTTGCTCACAATCAACTACAAGGATATGAATTGAATTGAACTTCAACGACAGAATTATAGATTATATCAATAGGTAACGAAACAATCAAACGTGTATATTGTTACTTTTCTATTCATAGGCGAAACAAATTTCTTGTTGAATACTGAATAAATTTGTCTTCATCAAGCATCAATATAAAAGTATATTGATGCCAGTTCGACGTATACTTGAAATGGTTCGAAGAAATCTTTCGCTTATGAAAGAAAACGAAGATTTGAACAGACGCAATCGACATATTCAAATACATAAAAATAACTTGATATAATCGGTGACCGATTATGTTGAATGTAATTAACTAGAGTTGATTATTCGAGAAAACACAGGATCGCTCAACTTTTTTTCTATAAATCGAGCTGGATCTGACGGATTTTCTTACGTTTAAAACACTGAAACTAGTTTATTTTTCTAGTTTTAATTGTTTTTCAATGCTGTAAATATTTAAAAATATAAAAGTTTCCTTATAAGAAAAACTTTCTCTCGTCAAAACATCGACTTTACTCTTTTGGACTATTTTCATCAGACTGTAAAAAATCTCAAGAACTAACTAGTTCATGTTAACGGTGTTTTAGATTGGAAAATATAAAAAAACCGTTTTTCTTCTATTAGGATAGCTATAATGATCATCAGTATAAAGTATTTTAAACAATACCTAGCGATTAACAAGTTGAAATACTTAAAATCTACCACAAATCATTTATTCTACATAAGATTGTAGTTAATTGTTAGATGAAATTTCTTCAAAAGAATTCTTCCTTCGCTCCTCTTTTTAACGTGTATATAATATCACGGTTCATAATATATGCTTTTTGTGACCCGTGCTCATAGCTATAAATTATTTGCGCAACAACTTCCAAGCTGATGAATTTTTTATAAAGATGTTTATTCGTCAATCATTTTGTAGATTTCATTCAACTGGCCCAATCACGTAAGATAATCCTATCTTGAATCTTAATATGCATGCGAAAGAATATCTATCATTAGTTATCTAAACCATGTTGCCAGCAATCCTGTCCACCGGTATTTAAGAATGAATACAACAAATATCAGATTTATTGCATCAAATTGCATTCAAAACTTCCCCAGGAAAAAATGGAACTTTTAAATCATTGCTATTCACTTAAAGCTTCTAAATTTACACATATATTCATATCTATAGCGCCTATAAACGATCATAAATGTTGTTGTTAAATATCAGTTTGTTATCGATTATACTAATTTTGATTTTGTCAGATATCATTCGTACATATGTTTTCTTTTTGTGTAATGATTAAATCTATTTTAAATGCAAACTTCGTAATCTAACTTTTTATGTACAAAAATTCAATGAGAACTGGACTGATAACATCACTTTTCTCTCATACGATCAAGTTTGATAAAAATTAGGCCTTTGAATTTCTAAGAAAACTTCCATATATATCTTAAATGCTGAAAGATACTTTTTAAACGAAGCATTCTTTAAAGAAATTATATGTAAATAGTGAAACATCGGAAATGACCACCAGTACAATACACTCAATTCTTCCTAAAGGCATTAGAAATTAATAGTTTTTTTTAATGAAAATTTTGTAAGAAAAATTGAACGATTGACTATTTCATGGCCAGGGGCGGCGGAGCGTCATTAAGCTAGGTGAGGCTCATCATATTTTTTTTGCTACCGTGGAATTTTATGAAACATCAAGTAGTAAATAAGTCTTCTTTTTATTGAACCTCAGTAAAAATAAAAATGGTCAGTATAAAAAAAGAAGATTGGAAAACACCGAAAACTAGTTTTCTTTGCTTCTACTCCGATGCAAGAACAAGAAAATAGCAATATTCAGTACAAAAGCAAGTGAAGCTGAGCCTCATCTACTGAAAACTAGGTGAGGCTCAAGCCTCACCTATCTCAGTGGCTCCGCCGCCACTGTTCATGATAGATTCTGTTATGTCAGGAGATCTCTCTCCTGTCATAAGTATGTTCTCTCTTCTTCTCTCTGTTTCATTCTATCACGTTTACAATCATTCCATTCTTCTTCTCTTATCAATTCTATTTAAATGAGTGTTAATGTTTAAAGAAGGGGGATTATTTCTTGTGAAAAGATAATAATAAGAAGAAGGCGAAATAAAGAAGAAGAAGATTGTAACAGATTCTTCCAGTAAGAGATAATCGAGGGTGAAACTGGATTAGACTAATAATTTCACCGAACGAAAGTAGTTCAATGATATACGTCTTGCTTTTGTAAATGTTCATCGATTTAACATATGAGCCACATACGTAAAATAAGGATCACCATCTGTACTTCTTAATTTTATGCCACTGACACGAAGTCACATAGAGTCATCAGCATTATTATATAATATTTATTTACTGAAAAAATAAATAACAATATCAAATCACGATGCATTGTTAGCAAACACGAAATTAGAATTGTCATTCATTCGAGCAACAACTGTATGATACGGAGGTGGCAGTTGTTCAATAGGTATTGACCAACACATTTGTTGCTGTTGTAATTCATTTTGTTGAGGTTGAGTTAGAACAACAACTCGCATGGGAAGTGGTGCAATATGTCGATGAGCCTGATTTGACCGTACGCAATATGCCGCTACAAATAGAGCTGTTGTTGCCAGGACTATTACAATCAATGCATAATGCGAAGCAGACAATAGCATTTCATGTAGGTTTATATGTGTTTCAGATGAGCAACATTCATTTTTTTTTATAAAACTAATAAAGTCCTGTATTGAGTTGATATAGTCAAATAATAAGTATGAAGAAAAAGAAAAAAGAAGAAGCGAAGAAAATCCTTTTTCTTTTTCTTCTTCTTCTTCTTTACATTTTGTTTTAATGGACACGCTCGTCGGATGAGCATCGATACTTGTTGCTTGTTGCGCCTTTTATATACGTTTTAATCATCACTTTTGATGGCATACTTTCACATACTGACATTCCTTCCTTTATTGAAGGAAAAAGAAAATTCTGTTTTTGCTTTTCTTCTTTTCAAATGAAAATGGCGGAATATTAATCTTAGGAACGCGGAACATAATGTCAGCATTCGTTTGTTCGTTGATCTTCAAATGTTCGATAATTATTCAGTGATGAAATGGCTCAAATGTATTAAATGCCTAATTGAAACCGTTTTTGATCGATAAAATTATAGTTTTCAAATTTTATATATGAACTTAGAACTATGATGATACAGTATTTTTCTTTAAAATACTATTGCTAGAATTAGATGAGTCACAAGCGAAGTACCCGACGCCGAAGATTTATTGTCATGAATTATCTTATATTTACTTTGGAGTAAACCATATAGAATTATATCGGAGACGGGCAAGTTAAGACTTACTTTTCCTTCTACTATGTTCATTTAATCAAGTGTAATCATTCTTGTCGTGTTGTGATGTGTTTATGATAAAACTTGTCTGATTGAGAGTAATTACACAGAAGTTGACTATGTTGGACTGTGTTTAACTATGATTTTTCTTATGGGTTAATTTCGAAAAATCTACTGAAGTTCTTCATTATACAAAAATATTAATTCATTAGAGTTATTCCTAAGATTTCCTACAAATTACAATGTTTCAAAGTAGATTTATTTTTTTTTTCTTGAAGATTTATATACTCTCAAATTTATAATGGAGATTCAAATACTAGTCGCTATTCAATAAGAAACGAAATTCAATTGAAAATTACAAAGTTTTGAATTGATATCAAACAATTAGAAATATAATTATCGAAAATCAAGAATAAAATTTTAATTCTTTTAACAAAAGATAGAAATATTTTTATACTTTCTTTTCATCAACAAACTATTCTATTATCGTTGTGGAAAAAATATAACAAAATGGTCATCATAATGATCAACTGATAGAGCAATAGAAGCAAAAGGAGGCAACGATTCACATGCATTTGCATATATATATATATAGACAGATAAGACTCTGAAAACCCTAAAGCATTGAATGTGTCATGTGCATAGCTGAAGAAATAAGAGGAAAATACGAGATAGCCGTATTTACAATCTCATACGTGATTCTCGATATGAAGCAAAAAAAGTGAACATATTTAATCTAGCGAATGAAGAAAGGAAAAACAAATAAAGAACGGATAAACATACAAGCATCTGCAGAGAAAGATCATCCCTGACGACGATAATCAAGAACGAAATTTAAAAAACAAAAACGTCACCAAATTCTTAAAGAACCGGACACGAAAAATAATAATAACAAAAAAGAAAACTAAACATATCAATCAGTCACAACAACAACGGTTGTATTCGATGAACATTCTTCATCTTGTTGATGCTGTTGATGATTAGTTGCAATACGTTCATGAAGATCAGTATATATCTGTTCAATATATTGCTTTAACATTACATCTCTTGTATCTGAACTCTGTGTTACCTTTAAAAGCAAAAAAAAAGCAAATAATAATCAAGCAAATAATAACGACGTTGACTTACTGATGAATAGAGATTCTCTAATTCATTAAGACGCTTATGAAGGTCACCAACAAGATGATTGATAACTGGCATACGGTCATCATTCAAAACTGAATTACTAAAATAAAAAAATATTTTCAAATAAGACAACACAAAAACAAAAGTGTTTTTAATTTACTTTTTTTTCGTATCATTCATGGTTGCGTCGGATGATGATGGTAAAATTTTATTTTCTTGCTGTATTTGCCGATAATCAGGTATTGATATACTACGTCGAACTCTAATTTCTTTTGGTGTATTATTATCATTTAATGTACAGGCTTGTAAATCATTTGCTGTTTCTAACGAATCTGAACTTTCAATGGAACAGGTACTTGTTGATCGTTTTGTTGGTTTATTTGGTGATGATGCTATATCTTGTAAAAGTAGCGGTTTTAAACCAAGTACAACTGTTCGATAAAAACAATCTTGTGCCCATTTTGGCATAAGATCATTTGTTGTATTATCTAATTCTCGTAATGGCAAAACAGATTCTGACAAAGACGAAGACGATGGATGAAGATATTGCTTTGTTTCATGATTTTCTTTTGTTTGATTACTTTTTGTTGGTGAAGAAGTATTTGATGATGCCGACGAAGATGTCGATGACGATGATTGAATAGTAGACGCTGTGGGTAAATTAGGTGGACGTCGAGTTATGCGAGAGATTTTTACTCGACGGAATGTTGTCATTTTTGATTGCTGTGCAGTTGTAGTAGGCAGAATAAGATTTTGAGTTGAACGAGATTTTGTCATATTTTTACTTGACGACATGGACCGAGTATCTAATGAAACAACAGATGGAACACGACGTGTTTGAGCATTCATGACTAATGATGTTGTCGATGATGATGATGGTGCAAAAATAGGTACTGATGGTGGCATTGATGATATAATACCTTCGCGAAGTTTACTCATTGAACTTGATGTATGCGCTGCGTATGATGGTAAACACGAATGAGATGATGATGATGATGTTGTATCTCCAGTAGCATTATTAAGCGATAGAGTTGATGAACGAAAACGATCTTCAGATTGTGCTCGATTACCTAATTTTAAAAAAAAGGGAATAAATTATTGCGATTGACTTAGATGATTGCTTTTTTTCGAGGTTTTCAGTCACATTTACTCAAATTTCATAATTGACATGAAAGAAAAATTAGTAAATTCAATAATTTTTAACATATTCCCATACAATTAAATTAACAACAGAATGCTACATACGTTGCAATGTACTACGCATACTATCGGCACGATGTTATGCAACAGACGATAGCGTTTTTAAAGTTACAAGTACTAAGATTACAATACAAAACTTTATCGAACAAAACAAACACTTAGCTATGAAGATCAGTGAACTTAAAATGTCGACATATTGCAACTGATCAATTCTACAATATTTTCTTTTTCGTTTATGTTCAATGTCAAAAGTGTTCATAATATTCACACAGATGCATTTTTCTCTTCTTTCGACTATAAACTTACCACGAGTTTTTCGTGCTGTGGATGACTTAGGTGGTGGTGCTGGTTTTGATTCCATATTACCCATTGTTTGCGATCGGGTAGTTTTATTTGTTCGAATAGATGTAGAAATATCTTCTTGTGTTGTATTTACTGATGTAATTAATGTATCGATCAATCTTAAAAATGAAAATTTTTTTAAGCTAATAATGTTTCTATTCATTTGTTTCCTACGTTATTTCTTTTGATACAGAGCGAAAACGAGATGAAACACTTTTGCGTCGTTGAACTTGGCGTGTCGAACTTTCATCATCAACGGTTGTATTTATTGTTGAATGTTCATGATCATAATTTTCAATAAAAAATGAATTAATTTTTCCATTTGTAGTATCTGTATTGGCTGTTGCTGGATCATCATCTAATAAAACGAATCTATTTTGTCTTTTGAATTTAACTACAAGAACAAACCATACCTTCATCGAGAAAAACTGATTCATCATCTTGTGAACTTCCTGAACGAATCATTTTATCAGATGAACTAAATGAAAAGATATACATATGTTAATACTAATTCAAGAAGAAATAATAATATTTACTCTTCGTCTATAATATCGGGTAGTTGTGGACGAATTAATTTTGGTTCGAACGGCTAAAAAAGAGACAGACAAGGATTGTTGGAGTTGTATTAACAATCAATACAAACCGGTAGACGAGGTTCAGCAGTTGCCCATAAACTTCGTTGACGTTTTGTTTGTGGTTGATGTTCTTCAATAATATTTAGTGTCTAGACAAAAGAAAATCTGTACATTCAACTAATTTAAATAAGCAATAAAAATTCTACCTGAGTAACTGATTCTTCAACTTCAGTTCTAAAAATATAAAAATTAATTTTTCTAATTAAAATCTTAACAAAACCTACATTTCAAGTTCATTTGTTTTCGTCAAGGGTACCGACGGCAATCGAAAGTTAGTCGGTACAATAGCTAATTCAGCAATATTCCAAACAAAAATACAACTAAAATTTTTATTCAATAAGATAAATTAATTGAAAGTTTTTCAAATCAATCTTACCTATCACCAGAAATCGAATATAAATGATGTCCATCATGACTAAATTTTAGATCCGTCACAATTTCACTATGACCACAAAGCGATGCAACACATTCTGTTGTAATTGTATCCCAAATATAAACACATTTATTTGAACATGATGTTGCTAAATATCTTCCTGATGAATCAACATCAATTTTAACTAAATAGCCTGTATCATCACTCATTGAACCTTTACACGTTCGAACACGTTTACCATCTTGAGTATTATAAACTCTAGAAAAAAAGAAAATTAAATAGTTAAAGTACAATTTTTTTAGGAAAAAAAAACAATAACTGACCTTATCATTCGATCTTGACAAGCAGTATTAACAAGTTCTCGTGCATGATCAATAACTAAATCATAAAATGTTTGTTTTTCAACAATATTATTCGAACGAATAAATTGATATTTTCCATTTTCATTCTATAAAAACACGATTTCTCGGTAAACAATAAAAACTTAATTTCAAATAAATCAATTAATTTTACTTTATAAATCGATCGAAATATTAATGATTTATCTGCGCTACATGAAATCAATTGTAGATTTGAAGTAACTGATGAAACTGCAAAACGAACAGCAGTGATAGCAGCTGAATGATCATCTAATGTTGCAACTAGTTGATAGTCTTTTGA